CGGAGCTTCTGAACCGTCAGAAGCATTAAAATTCGGCCGTGCTGCCAGTGACTTCAGAACACCCCCACTGGCTCGACAACTGTCGCGCGCGCGCGCGCGCCTCCTCAACTTCCATTAGACGTCGTGTTGATCGCAATCCTACACCAGGGCGCTCAACTCCAAACTCTCCAGGTTTTTTTTCTCACAATGGAACGCACGCCTCGATTTAAAAAACAAAAAACCCCTCGGGCCCCGGTGGCGACGACACTGAAGCACGTCGAACCTTTTGATGCCAACACCGACAGGGCCGACGACTCTCGTGCGTGCAGCGCAGCGTGGAACGCCGCGGGCGACGGGGTGGGGGATGGCTCGTGGAGTAAAAACCCAGCTCGGGTCCAGGCCGCGGACAACAACCAGCGGATTGGTGACATCCCTGAACAGACCCTGGGATGTCTCCCTTCACAACCCGTACTCGTCAACGCCGGTGAAGTATGGCCAAACAACCCCCCATGACAAATGCAGCCTTCACCCAGCAGTGAAATGACAAAGGGGTTGTATAGACTAAGAGACTAAACAATAGCTCGGGTCTAGAATGAAGAGATTTGATCTGATGGTCTATAGGGGTACACAAAGCACGTCTTTCCAACAGCTTCATTTGAAAACATCTGCTTGCTTCGGCTCATTGTGGCCTTCAGGGCAATGTTTCCCTCAACCCATTAGTGTTCTGAACACAGAGGCCCGTTCCGCACGAATGAAATCCACGTCAGATTTTGGCAGTGGACGATTGCTGGCTTGAATGCCATTCTGCAACATACAAAATAAAATATTGCTTTGGTAAATCTGCTTTAAAACGCCAATCGATTCAATCAGGAGTTCTTATTGTAGACAAAGGTTTATTTCCCTCCCCCCCCACCCCCATCAGGATATTCGAAGAGAAAACAACCCAGAAGGGATCTACAGGCGGATACTAAAATCAATGACATAAAGGTTCAAATTAAAGTGCGAGGAGCGTGCTTCTGCGCGAGTCACCTAACAGCTGGGCTCGCCCCGCACTCGAGGCGATGGCGGCGCACGAAGCGCCACGCGAAGTTTGTGAAGCGTCCGCAGCACGGCGCAGCCCTCCTCCCCCTCACCTGCTCCCCCTTCCCTCCTCCCCCTTCCCTCCTCCCCCTCACCTGCTCCCCCTTCCCTCCTCCCCCTCACCTGCTCCCCCTCACCTGCTCCCCCTCACCTGCTCCCCCTCCCCTCCTCCCCCTCACCTGCTCCCCCTTCCCTCCTCCCCCTCACCTGCTCCCCCTCACCTCCTCCCCCTCACCTCCTCCCCCTCCCCTCCTCCCCCTCACCTGCTCCCCCTTCCCTCCTCCCCCTCACCTGCTCCCCCTCACCTCCTCCCCCTCACCTGCTCCCCCTTCCCTCCTCCCCCTTCCCTCCTCCCCCTCACCTGCTCCCCCTTCCCTCCTCCCCCTCACCTCCTCCCCCTCACCTGCTCCCCCTCACCTGCTCCCCCTCACCTCCTCCCCCTCACCTGCTCCCCCTCACCTCCTCCCCCTCACCTGCTCCCCCTCACCTCCTCCCCCTCACCTGCTCCCCCTCACCTCCTCCCCCTCCCCTGCTCCCCCTCACCTCCTCCCCCTCACCTCCTCCCCCTCACCTGCTCCCCCTCACCTCCTCCCCCTCACCTCCTCCCCCTCACCTCCTCCCCCTCACCTGCTCCCCCTCACCTGCTCCCCCTCACCTGCTCCCCCTCACCTGCTCCCCCTCACCTCCTCCCCCTCACCTCCTCCCCCTCACCTGCTCCCCCTCACCTGCTCCCCCTCACCTCCTCCCCCTCACCTGCTCCCCCTCACCTGCTCCCCCTCACCTGCTCCCCCTCACCTGCTCCCCCTCACCTGCTCCCCCTCACCTCCTCCCCCTCACCTCCTCCCCCTCCCCTGCTCCCCCTCACCTCCTCCCCCTCACCTGCTCCCCCTCACCTGCTCCCCCTCACCTGCTCCCCCTCACCTCCTCCCCCTCCCCTGCTCCCCCTCACCTGCTCCCCCTCACCTCCTCCCCCTCACCTGCTCCCCCTCACCTGCTCCCCCTCACCTCCTCCCCCTCACCTGCTCCCCCTCCCCTCCTCCCCCTCACCTCCTCCCCCTCACCTGCTCCCCCTTCCCTCCTCCCCCTTCCCTCCTCCCCCTCACCTGCTCCCCCTCACCTGCTCCCCCTCACCTCCTCCCCCTCACCTGCTCCCCCTCCCCTCCTCCCCCTCACCTGCTCCCCCTCACCTCCTCCCCCTCACCTCCTCCCCCTCACCTGCTCCCCCTTCCCTCCTCCCCCTTCCCTCCTCCCCCTCACCTGCTCCCCCTCCCCTCCTCCCCCTCACCTGCTCCCCCTCACCTCCTCCCCCTCACCTCCTCCCCCTCACCTGCTCCCCCTTCCCTCCTCCCCCTTCCCTCCTCCCCCTCACCTGCTCCCCCTCACCTCCTCCCCCTCACCTGCTCCCCCTCACCTGCTCCCCCTCACCTCCTCCCCCTCACCTCCTCCCCCTCACCTCCTCCCCCTCACCTGCTCCCCCTCACCTGCTCCCCCTCCCCTCCTCCCCCTCACCTCCTCCCCCTCCCCTCCTCCCCCTCACCTGCTCCCCCTCACCTCCTCCCCCTCACCTCCTCCCCCTCCCCTCCTCCCCCTCACCTCCTCCCCCTCACCTCCTCCCCCTCACCTCCTCCCCCTCACCTGCTCCCCCTTCCCTCCTCCCCCTTCCCTCCTCCCCCTCACCTGCTCCCCCTCACCTCCTCCCCCTCACCTGCTCCCCCTCACCTGCTCCCCCTCACCTCCTCCCCCTCACCTCCTCCCCCTCACCTGCTCCCCCTCACCTGCTCCCCCTCCCCTCCTCCCCCTCACCTCCTCCCCCTCCCCTCCTCCCCCTCACCTGCTCCCCCTCACCTGCTCCCCGAGCGCCACATCCTGACACGCCACGTGCCGCACTTTCCATCAGCGCGGTTGGCTACGAGTGACGCGCGCACACGCCGGCCCAGCACGTACGCCTGTGAACTCGCCTTCGACAACTTGTATCGTGCTGTTTGTGGCTGGGCGCTTGGAGTCTTGAGCCCTTCGACGATTCGGCTCGGCGACGGTGGGGCATTCGTGAGGAAGACAATGGATTTCTATGCAACGCAACTTTCTGCTTGGCATCGACTTGTTTGACTGCGTAGTTTTTGCGCACGTGCTGTACAGATCTCCAACGTGCTTTTCAGGTCGTGCCGTGTGTCGTTTCGCACCAAGCCCGACGTTTCGCTCCGTGTGCCGGGAGCTTCAATCCACACGGAGTGAAACGTCAGACATTGGTGCCGAACCCAATCCAGCTCAATGTGAAAAAGCAACGTGGACATCGGCTTCAGTTTTTTTAAAGTCAACGCGTGAACGATTCTGCCCTTGCGTGTGAACATTTTGATTACAGACTAGACACAGAATGCATACGAGCCGCACTGGCCACGCGTATGCAAATCGAACCGGTAGAGGCCCCATCGGTAATTATTTGAAATGTAGTTTTATATGCATGTGCACAAACGTACGTATATTGTTCCATTGAAAGAGCCAAATTTTACATGTTTATGGGAGATGCGCTGTTAACGTGCCCTGTGCTTAAGAATCAAATTCGACATTTGCGATAAATGCATCAATTTCTCCTTGGTGAGAATCTAATATTTAATTCGTACACCATCTTTCATGTGACTCCCGCAGCCACTAGAGACACGACATTCACAATTAAAAGATTCTGTATTCGAATCGCAAACCCCAATTTGTGACAACTCTTGGATCACAAGCGGAGTGAATGTTTCGATGCCTTGAGGATGGAACTAACGCCACTGCTCACGAGGTGGAGTGGTGGAGGTGGTGACGCGGTCCAGCGGTAACGACATTCCTCGCTTGTTCCAGAGGTTCATGGCTCAAATCCAGCGCCTGCTCTGGTTAATACTGCGGGTCTATTAAACTTTAATCATAGCAATAAATGTATTTCTCAATTGAAAGCCTTGCCGAATCCCAATACTTCTCCAGATCCTTCAGCACCGTCCTGCTGAGGTTGTTCGGCAAATTGTGATTATTTTTCAGTTGAAGATCATGGTAAACCCACGCAAAGCCTTTAAAGCTCCACTACAAAGTTGGCCCAAAAGAAAGCCTTACTTTGCTGCCTATTAGCGCGATATTTCTGTTCTAAACGTGGGTGTTTTCCTCAGATAATCTTTGCATGATCTACAAACCCAACCTGCAAGTTGCTCAGTGCCAGGTGCGTACCACTGCAGCCGTGTGTGTACCAGTTGGGAGCCGAACGGCGCTGGGAAGCGTTCGCTGCAGCACTACGGAACGGAGACAAAGTCAGAGGGCAAAACTCGGCACGACGACCCACGCCCCACCATCTCAATTTAAGATCCCTGCACGGCGCAAATTGTCCACAAGCCACGACAGCTGCGAGCTGCGGCACCCCCCGTCACAGTCACCGCTGCCGTCACAGTCACGGACGGCGTGGCCAATTAAACATTTAGCCGTCATCCGCCTCTTGAGCTGCGGAACGGCGAGCGCGGTGCCAAGCGCGCCGCGTGTGAGCGAGTCACCGACTGCGGCTCCCTTCACCGCAAACCGGACCGACCGACGGTGGGACCTGGCAACAGCGCTCTCCCAAAAAAAAAGAAACCAACGCAAAACCGTCCCTCTCCTCAGTAACTCTCGCTTCGAGACATCCCAGTGCTGTGACATTTTACAACTTTCGTGCAACCAACAGGAAAAAACAACTTCAGTCCGCAGGGTGAAAAAGAAATCTGAGGAAGCGCTCGCATTTTGCTGTGCGTTTGGTGCACTGTTTGGAGCAACCACAATTTATTTAAAAACAAAATGACACCGGTCCATAACAACGTATAAGTACAAGCTCATTTTAAATATCTAAAAGCCCATTAAGTTAATTAACGGCTTCCTCGGATTTACTTTTTAGTGTCTGCTATTGGGAACGTTCCAGCAGAAAAACAGCAACCACCGCAACTTCTGCATGACAACTAGAATTGACTTTTAATTAGGAATCTTTTAATTTTCCTGTTAACGCAATCCCTTTTCAGGAAAAACCCATCCAAATAGCACCTGCATACGTAGTTACCCGCGTAATGATTCAGTTATGGAATAACTCACCTGTCCACCACCTTGGTTAAATATTTACGCACACCTGTTCCCTTGTCGAGATCATAAAAATACGAACACCCCAAGTGTAGGAGTGGGGTTAACGTACGGTGTGGACAGGACAGGCAACAGGGTAGGTAGGTGCGTAATAATGGTAGCAAGAGGCCGCAGCTCAGTACCTAGACACAGCCCTTGAAACCTTCGCCAGGGTCAACGATGTGGAATGGGGGGGCGACAATACTGGACACACCGCCACCTCAGCTGGCTACTCATGTTTAGTCCGAGTTGATGTAGGAGACTGTAAGGCCACTGGTGTGACATGCGCACACACACTCACACCAGCGGGATTACTGCCAAGCATGTGTGTACAATCAGCTCTGTTCCGATCTTTAGATCGTAATTAAATCGCGAGCCCATCACACTCCATCGTCTCCCTGGGATGGGCAAAATTACTCACCACTCTGTGGGGAGTCAACAGTGGCTCAGTCGATACAAGCTGGTCCTCACTGTGGCAAATGCGCAACTTCTACCACTGGCTGACTACCGCCCATTTAGGCATTGCTTGTTTAAATAAGCCATTTCACGTTATGGCTATTATCTTATTGAATGGCTGTTGGTTTTTGGCGGGTGGCGTGCGTGACCCCGAGCCGGTTTACACAGCGCGGCGGCTTCAGCGCTCCATGCAGAAGCCCGCAAAGTGCCTGCAGGTAATTGTGATCATCCAAAACACGCAATCAGCTGTCACGTGGATCTTAACAGGCCCACCCCAATCCTCGACGCAAGTCGGCCTTGTGTGTTTCAGTGTCACGGCCAAAACTCCCATCCTAAAAGGGTAACCACAACGAAAATTTGAAAAAACTATCTTATAATCGTGCACAGCTCTTCCTAAGTACTCATGATAGCCACTTGACTATCACGAGTGACTTGATAAAGAGTGATATCGCTCAATGACCCTCCGCAAGGATACATAGACATTGTGGATTAGTTAATATTAGTCGAATTATAAGTGATTAATTCTCAATTAAAAATCAATTCCTTTTGCAAGCAAATATGGACAAACTCTGGTGTGTGTATGTCAAGGCTACAATGTAAAAAGAACTGCATTAACTCGTGCACAAATAAAAATTGGTATAAGGACACAGAAACATCGCAAATGACGGGAGCTGTGTTCACACTTCACACAAGACATACTTTGCGTAACATTCCCGGCCACGCCTGCAAGCAGTAGACCTCGGAACACAAGGAGGAAAACTGTCTGCGTTTGCGTCCAGAAGTGAGTTTCCCCTCAGTGCACAACAGAAAAAGAAAACCAGCACGTGGTGGAGAAATGGGCCAATTTAATCGAGGTGAGGAAGTTTATTATTAAAAATGTATCAACTAAATTAAAGGTAACTTATTTCAGGAATGTGACAAGTTTCACGTGAGACCACGAGTAACCAATCATTAGGCTGTAGTTACGAGACGCAACATGACGCCAGGTTTTTTTGCACGCAAGCGATCTCGAACTAGCCCCCCGGGAAGTGTGGCGTGGTAGGGAAACGTGCTTCCAGACGCAAAGCGCAGCCAGAATGTTTTCGCGACCGCTCGAAGCATTCGCGCGCAAAGCACAGTGCAAAAGGGTAATGCAGCGAAGGCTATCAGCGCTGACCGACAACCGGGTACGTCCAGTGTAGGCGGACCCCGTAACTCCCATCTCCGCCGTTCAGTGTTGCTCTTGGTGCCTCGTGGTTAGAGCGAGCGAGTGGGGGGGGGGGGGGGGAAGCGGATCATTTTCACGCTTTAAAATTCGTTAGGCTGGGTGGGATGTGAATATGCAAATGCGAGCGTGTGGGGGACATTTCCATCGCCGATGGCTCTCTCGCGAATCAAAGTTGGTGTGGGCACCGTCCCTCCTGACAGTTACACAGTTCGCCAGGTTTAGTCAGAGACCGTGCGTAGACTTGTACGAGCGAGCGCTCTTCGTGAGCACCTGTTAAAACACCAACACCACATCGGGTCTGCCACTTATTTTCCAAGATCTGAAGTTGATTGAGTCTCTCACTTTAGGTCGAGGTGACGTAAGAAATGCCAAAGCTAGGCTCGAAGAGCAAGTTGAACCGGTGTTATGACCAAGACATTAATGTAGATTTCTAGACTCAAGGCCTTAATAGTTGCTCAATAACAGCACTTGAACGTGAGTGTGCGTGTGTATGTCAGTGTACGCTGGGGGCCGGTACCGAGAAGGGCATTGGGTGGCAAACCGGAGGTCGGCGACCGAGGGAAGGACCAAACGTTAGGACGGTGGCGGAGAATGTAACACGTTTGCGCGTCAACAATTTAGCGGCTGAGGGACAAAGCAGAATGTGGTGAAGGAGAGGGGTGGTGGCATTGGCAGAATTTGTGGCGGCAACGCCTCGACTCAACATTGCACCGTGATTCTCGCGAAATGGCTTTGACTCTTGGCCGTACGCAACAGCGGGAACTGTTAACAGACCGATCTCAGACTAGGTCTACGTCAAATCACCCTCAATCCAGTACCTGGTACCGCGTGCGATCAGAAATCACTGCGGGGAAATGGGGGGCTCCATGTGTGGTACTGGCCACATCAACACTCTCTCTTGCCATGCTGGCCTTAGCAGGTATTCAATAACACAGGGCCTACGAAGCTGACCGGTGGATCTGCGTGCGTGCACGCATGTGTACGTGGCCATGCGGGCAAGCGAGGGAGTTGTTCATTTGTGTGTGTGCGCGCGTGTCGAGAGCGGAGACAGGGCATGGTCTCAATCAAAACCGTGTCGCTTGCATATCAGGTCTTCAAAACCTTTGGGCAACGTTCAGCATCAAGCACAAATAAGAAACCCAACAAATTCAAACATAGGCCATGACTACACAAACAAAGGAAATAACAAAATCATCCTTGAAAACTATAAAAGAAAAAAAACTCGCAAATAAGCGCTCCTTGCAATTCTTGAATTTCCTTCAGGGCATAGGTTTGATGTCATTTACAGTGGCAACAGAAAAAGTTGTGTTCATGGTAACAAAAAAAATCCTTTTGCTTCAAGTTTCGGGTTGCTACATTTTGTCATTTGGTTCTGCAAATTGCGGTGAACCTTCTTTCAAAGCTACCGCGTGCGTACGCCGTATTCAATCACCGACACGGCAGACAAGCTCTCATTAAACCTGCTCAGGCTTGGTTCTTCCACTCTACCCTCTAACATTCACACTTTTGTGTGTTGCGCTGCAGCACTTTCATATTATGAACGATAATAAAAAAATAAGATGGGGAAACGCGCATTAACGAGCCAGTGTGGAAACTATTTTTTTTTTTCTTTAACGATCTGAAGAGCCTTCACAACTTTTAATGAGTTCTTAGAATTTTAAAAATAAAAACTCTCCTCACACTCTCTCGTTGCAGTGAAGCGAAGATATATAACTGTACGCATATTTTACAAAAAAAATACCAACAAGTATCGACGTATAATATACTATTTAACATTCAAGTTATGCGCTCGCCGATTTTAAAGCCTAGTAACTAAGCCGCAGTTTGAACATGCTTAACTAGCTCAACTAAAAAAAAGTTCCGTTAGGGACCTTGGAACACCTAGATGAAAATGGTCTGTAAATTGAAGCCAGAAGTGTTGTACAGATGGAAAAAAAATAATTTGCAGAACATTCAACCACGTGGTACAAACACATTGCAGAGGCAGTCCACAAGAGGAAAGGGCCGGTCTCTGAAAAAAGGTCAAATATTTTGAAAAGCAGTTTTTACCATCTTACGTGACCACAGGCAGCTTAATCTGCAGGCTGCTCCGATTCTACTGCAAATGCATCCTGAATTTAAAAGTAATAAGGTTGGGGAAAATATAGCTTCCGTGCAATGAACAGGAGCTTAAAAACTGAGCGCAGAGGATAAATACGTTTTTTTACTGTAAATGCAGACCACTTGCCTCCAGGTTTTCTGCAGCCTTAGACTTAAACAGGGGTTCAAGGCACATTTACAAAGCTCAATTAGATGCAATATCTTACAGGAAACAATGCTTTCATCAGAAACAGTAATCAAACTCTGCTATGAAACCCTGTAAAAGTCTGCAACATCTTTAGAAGTAATTTTTTCTAACTTTATGTTTTTAATTTACAACACTTCTAAAACTTCCCCCCCCCCCAACATCACCCCCCAAGCATTAGACTTCACTGTTAGCCATGTTCCCAGGTTCTGCGAAAACGCAAAACTTACACCTGTACATCCACCTTCCGTCTCGCTATTATCATGGAAGCGCACGCCATTTTTGTGGCAAATGAGCGACGGAGAGACGCGCGTACATTTGCGAGAACGAGATGGTGCTGGTCACCCCGAAGCAAACACGCTGCTTAATCCGGAGCCCATTTTTCGTGTTCTATCACACAATAAGCCATTTGTTATGAGAGGTGACCGACTAAGACCTTCACTGCCTCGTTCTCAAAGCCTCATCGCCGTCTCCCGTGTGAAAAAATACTATCGTCAGATTACGAGAGACAACACATGCAGAGCTCGTGAACGTTACCGCCACAAAATGAGCAGTCGAGACACACTCCAGCCCGGCATGTGGATTTCACCTTAAAGTTCGTCACTGAACTGGGTGAGAACTGAGCGAGGCTCGTCCGTCGTCCCTGTTGCATTGAGAGAAACTGCAACACTCGACGTTGCTTTTTAAAAGTGAGTCAAATCGTGGTATTAAGGCTACGGCACCGGCGCACGGCGACCCCACTCCGGGGAATGACGCCACGAAATCTTTAGTTGCCCGTCCTAAAGAGGGCAGAGGGGTTGGTGGCAAGCTGTGGCAACTTTACGAGCAAATTGCCGAGAAGTGCGGCTGTGAGAACTGACGCGCCGGTACCGTGCGGCCCGGCTCAGAGGCGAGGGTGCCGACCGTGCCACCCAGCCCAGGGGCATTCGTGCCGACCGTGCCGACCGTGCCGCTCGGCCAAGGGGCGTGCGTGCCGACCGTGCCAGCCGGCGAAGCGAGCCTGGGGGCTGGGCAGTCCAAGGCTGCGTGCGGTCTCACCGTGTAACCCTCGACACGCCTCTTATACTCCAGCAGAAGCTGGAGATAAGCACGTGTTATATATGAGCTCAGTTCTGATAGAAGCAACGCTTACTAACATTACACTGGTGGTGGTGGTGGTGGTCAAATGGGGATTTCTGGCACACTCTACATATAAGCACAGGGGTGTACCTATATGCAGTTCCAACTGCAATGAGGTTCAACGCGACAGCAATCGCTGCCACACGCAGGGCCCCGCGGGTACAGAACCAGCTAGGAACTGCCCATGGTGCACTGCTATGACATTTGTTCGATACATTTTGATGCCAGAACAGTGAACATTTATTGTTAATTTACCAAGCATCGCAAGTGCTTATTTGTTATGCCCTCCTTGTTTTTTTTTTAAAAAAAAAGGGCACAAAATATGGTGGGGAAATATCTATGCCAATAAAAAAACACTAAGATACCTCCAGATTTTGTTTTTTAATACAAATAAAAAAAACTACCGCCGCAATCTGGCCGGCCACTTTTCCCTTCGCCCGATGACACTGCGGTCACAGCGCACGCTTCACAATGCGGAGGGGTTCCGAGTTCAAATCGCGGCTGGGGGTTGCGCCGCAAGACACGTCTTTCCCATTGGGGTCAACGAGTACCAACTTGTTCAAGGCAACGATGGCCATCCCACGGACACAACGACGAGCCAGGCAATAGAAATGTCTGCGGTACACCACCGGCCCAGGGGCCCACAAACGGAGATGAAATCTACCCCAATGCTCATTTGTCTCGTCGAGACGCACTAATAGTTTCTGAATCAGAAGCTGGCCATTAGTCAATTAGGATTAGGCCAGCTTCCACTTAGGCTTCATAGAGGACACAATGCGAAGAATATCTAACGAGTTGAATGTACCGAGTAAGCCCAGGAGAGGGTCGGACGTGCTGTATTCGCGTAGCCGCGTCTGCACGTGCTGCGGACGGAACTCCATCAGATGCAGCATGGCGTGAAAGTTACAAAGGTTATTTTATTGCAGATACTTACGCTAACGTAAAAAAACACGGACAGTCTATTTGGCAAGTTGTTTGTTTGTTGAGCCACTTAGAATGTTTTGGATTGTAGTCAATTCTTACATCACAGGGGTGTCGGGAAGAGCACTATGAACCCAGCGGTGGACTGTGCTAAAACAGATTTCAGGTGAGGAATCATTCTCAAGACCCAAAAATTGTGTTCACTCTAACAACCACATCCCACTTGTGTTATCTGTATCCATGGGGACAGTAAAGCCAATCTAAATGAATTCCACAGACAGCAGCCACGTGCTGCGTTGTGTAATGATCTCATAGTCCACATAATGGGCCTTCGTTCAACATTCTTCAAGGGCCTTACAAGCAACCTCTATGATATATGGCAGCTAAGCAATTCTCCACTCTCCTAGCCGAGTCGGGCTTCTGAAATCGTGGAGGTGTTTTGTGCCATAAATGTTGACCAGGCAAAAATCAGCAAAACTCACTCAACTTGGAAACCTGATTTCTTAATCATGGGTTGCTTCCCCCAGGTGCTAAAAGCTAGGATCTCAACAGCACTGACTCGGTCCTCTTGACACATGCCCAGCATGCGTCTCTCCAAACCAATCCCCAGCTTTCTCTACAGTTACCTTTGCATTTGGCATAACATGAAAGATGTTTTTGAACGGGCACAAAAAAAATCGGAAATGAAAACTCAAGCTCGCTTTACTTTTAAAATGCCGCAAGTGATAGCATATGCGCAAGAAGCCAACTGCAGCATTACAGGAGGTCGTCACAGTAGATAAGAGAGAGAGGAAACACTTCTGTTTCAAGTCGGCCGGACCCGTGGGGGATGCTGCTGATTGGTCGAGCGGTGTGGCACGGCACAGCGGAGAGCGGATCCACAGGCACCCCGTCCGAGCACGGTGGAGATGGGTGGAGCTGGGGGGACACCCGGAGGTCGCGGGGTCGTGGTGGAAAAACCGTGAAGTGTGACGGTAAAACCGTAAAGTCTTAGCGCCTCTCTCCTTTTTGTCCAGGAACGAAATGGCGAAAGGTCCGTAAAAGCGCTGTGGAAGACACAGAGATGCCCCGATCAATTGTGGACAATGTTAAAATAAATGCCTGCGTATGCACATACATCCACTAATTGGCCTTCTGGACTGATGCATCTGTGAAGAATCTCAATTAGGCAAACCCAGGATGGGTTTCAACCTCACCGGGTCACATCAGCAGAGTGTGTTAAAACAATGTTGTAAGTAACCTGATGTTATAGGCAAAATATGTCAATGGATACATTGACAACATGGTCCAGGGTTTGCCTTGGTTAACAAAATGCTACCCAGATACATTTGTTCAGAAGGCCCATCAGGTCAAAAGAATATATGTTACTAACTATTCCACTTCCATTATGATTAGAAACAGAGTGAATGCTGTTCAGCAGCATCAATACAGAGCAGGCAAGGAACTGGAAAGAGAATGTGGTAAGCTCAGCACACCATTCAAGCTATGCGTGTGCCTCCTTAGTGTTGATGCAGATGACCATTCCACTGCAATCTGATGATCACTTCAAGCCAAGTCAAACAAGAGCGGGCACGGACCAGATTCAGGTGCCAGGCGATGGCAGAGCAGTCCTCAGAACAGTAAATCATCACCACTGGCCTTAACAAGCACCTAAATGGCAAGAGCTAAATGTATCATGGGTGTTCATTATTCTACCTAGCACACCCACAATCGATACGAACAATGTCCCCTTATTTAAAATACTGATTGAGGGTTGGCTCAGCCTATCATGAATTCTGTCATCAATGAAATGAGTCAACGGTTGCCTTACACAAGCTGGCCCCCACCACGGGCATGCGACATTCAACCAGTGGCTCAGCACCCCTCCCAACGAAGACAGGCGTCAACACATTGCTTGTTCAAGTGGGTTTGGGGTGGGGGGGTGGAATCTTTAACATTTTACTCAAATACTAACCTCTATGAATAACAGCACGTACCCATCGCAGTGGGCTCGAACTTGGCTCGCATCGAGCAGCGAAGTCATTACATTTGTTTGACAGGGATAGTTTGCATCTGGGCTGAGCCAGGAACGGAGCGGTCGACTCTATTGAGTCGACGCAGCCTGCTGTCACGAGTCAGCACTTTAGCCCCACGGAACCTTTGCCCCCGACATCACTTACGGGGCAGCTCTTTAAGATGTGCACACACATCACCTCCACTCCTCCGCCCCCCGCCCCCACCGCCACTCCCTCCCCTGTGTATGCGCAACGTTGTGCCGACGGTTAGAAAACTGCGGTGAATCGATGGCTTTCATGAATGGCGCGTCACATGCGCTGGTAGTGGGGCTGCGCGCTGGTGGCTGAATCTCTTTGTAGTCGGTGGACGTGGCAACGAGCAGCCCCCGTGCGCAAAGTGAGTATTGCTTCGCAGGAAAACCAGAGATTTTCTTTCCCCTGCGCAATGGACTGCGCAACGAGGCCACGCTTAATATAAATTGCAATTAGCCAGGCAAATTGGTCAAGCCGCTGCATTTGGTGACAGCAGCCACACATCAAACCTTATACCCAAAATAATAATACACGAATGATGATGATGACGAGGATCTCCGTGCAATGTGCTTCCACGTAGAATCTTTGGCAGGCGAGTTCCCTGACAGCTCGGCGCAGGGACACGCAGGCCCGACAAACGTAATGAGCAAAGGGTACTGTGTTATTCAAATAGGATGCTATTTTGTCTCTTGCAAGGTGGACCATGATAGCGGTACAATTGCAATGCTTCCTTACTTTACATTTAATTTAATTGCAGTGCATTTAAAAAAGTTACAATGCCGCATTGGCACACACCATGTTTACTCCTGTTTTTTTTTGGGAGATCCATTACAAAAACCACCACGATTTAAATAATGAGGTTGAATTAGAGCAACATAATTGGGCTTCTTGTAATCTGCTGCGCGAGCGAATCGATGGAAGTTGCATGATTTGGTGGTGGCCATTTCATTAAATAACCAGTTCCTTTTTTTCCCCACTGTAGTGGATTGCGCATTGCACCATGGAACCCGGCGATCCGAGTTTGATTCCTGGCAACAAATAAAATCAGTAGCAAATCATATATTAACTGGTTCTGGAGCCTCCCGTCATCAACCTGCACTGACTGTTGAAGTCAGTGGTCGATGAAGCCGACAATGATGCCGATCATACAGCTTCATATATAGAGGATCGCAAAGCCTGGTGGAATTTGGTGCCGGCTCACCGCCTCGCTGCCATTCCCGCCTCTCTGTAGCTCCTCACACCTCTGCGTCAGTCTCTCTCTTCGAGAGTGAGCAAATACCGTGCGGGCGCGTTACAACTTGAAATTATTATTGCTGACTTAAAGCTTTCGTGAATGCAGGGATTCATATTCTTGGTTCTTTCGGTAAAGTCACGTAGAAGGGAAACAATTAAATAATAAAAATATAAAACAATACAATTTTCACGACGTTTCGACTGCAACACAAGCAATCATCATCAGGTGTGAAAACCACAGCAAGAAAATTTGAAAAAAGTGGCGGTTATTTTTAACGTTAGCACCACGGAGAACGATTTGACAGTTTGTTCAGATGGACGAGTCCATCTATGTTCGGAAAAGAGGAGGGGGGGCACCCCAATGGGCTCCCCCCTATCTCCGGTTGTAGCCAACATTTTCATGGAGAAATTTGAGACTGACACCATCCAGACTGCCACTCTACGCCCAACCTTATGGCAGAGGTACGTGGATGACACGTTTGTTATCTGACGACATGGCCGGCCTGCTCTAGAACAATTCTTGGACCACATCAATTCCATACACCCAGCCATCAGATTTACCATGGAAGTCGAAAAAGATGGCAAGCTAGCTTTTTTGGATGTCCTAATAAAAAAGAGACCTGATAGTTCAATGAGCCACTCTGTCTACAGGAAAGCTACCCGTACGGATGCTTACCTGAAACCGGATTCCAACCACCATCCATCCCAGAAGAATTCCCTCATCAAGACTCTGCACCATAGAGCCCAATGCATATCCGACCAGGAACACATAGCCAGTGAACTCAAGCACGTACACCAAGCTCTTAAGGCTAATGGTTACTCCGACTACACAATCCGCAAAGCTATCACTCCAACCATGAAGAAGGACCCTCTTGAGGAGCCTTTCAAAACCATCCCTTTACCCTACATTGCGGAGATCACAAAAAAGATCTCCAATATCTTGAATAAACACAAGATCCAGGTCCGATTCAACACATTACATAAAATCCGTGATCTGGTTCTGTCTGTAAAAGATGTAATTCCAGACATACAGTACCCTGGCGTCTACAAACTAAATTGCCTCTGTGGTAGTAGTTACATTGGAGAAAGCAAACAACATGTCTCGGACCGCATTCGTGAACACAAAGCAGACCTAAAACACGGTAGCACCAACACCTCGGCCGTGGCAGATCACTGTTATAATTCAGTAGGCTCACATGATATTGACTTCTCCAAGACAGAGGTTCTTTGCAAGCCATCTGGCTACCATGAGAGATTCGTTCATGAGGCTATCCACATATACAAACACAGAGACAATTTCAACCGAGAAGATGGATTCTGGCTTAGCAATCATTGGAAGGATTTGATAAACCATTTCGGGTCTTAATTGATTGTTCACGCTTAAGGTGGCTTTCAGACGGCATCCATTATTTTCGTCTCCCCCCTCCTCTTTTCCGAACATAAATGAACTCGTCTATCTGAACAAACTGTCAAATTGTTCTCCGTGGTGCTAATGTTAAAAATAACCGCCACTTTTTTCTAGATTTCTTGCTGTGGTTTTCACACCTGATGATGATTGCTTGTGTTGCAGTCGAAACGTCGTGAGAATTTTAATGTTTTATATTTTTATTATTTTATTGTTTCCCTTCTACGTGACTTTACCGAAAGAACCAAGAATATATTATTATTGTTATTATTATAAAGCGGTGTTAACTGTGCACCTGTGGTATCTGGCAGAAGAAAGTGGTGGCGATGTGTGGATGGCACCAAGAAATTGGCTGTGGTGACCTCTTTGCTCCCATGATGACATTTTTTTTATCGACGACGCTCGGTACAACGAACACCGCACGGTCGAAACGACAGCAGCGCTGCCGATGACGACACACAGCTGCGACCGCCGCCACGGTCGCCGCTGCTTACGACGGGCACCACGATTGCGAGACGCACCGTGGAGGGGCGGAGGGGGCAGGAGTCCATGCGCGGCGCCGCCGGTTACTGCTGCTTGCACGTCGTGATCCTCCGCACTTTGCTCACGTGGCCCGAGGAGGACTTGCGCGAGGGGTTCGACGTGTTGCTCGCTCGCCGGTCAGCTCGCTGCCTCCCACTCGCCGCCGGCGCCGACCTCTCCGTCTCCCTCTCCGCCACTGCCGCCGCCGCTCCGACGCCAGCTCCGCCTGGCACGCCCGCACCGGCCACGCCGCCGCCACCTCCGCCGCTGGCGCCGGCGCCACCACCGGCACCGACGCCGGCACCGCCGGCGCCATTAACGCACATGGCCGCCGCATGGCCGTTGCGTTCCGTGTCAAGCGTCTCTTCAGCCCCAATCTCCTCCTCTTCCTCCTCCTCCTCCTCCACGTCCGCCCGGCCTGCGGGATTCATGGGTCGGGATGGATAACTTTATTTCAGCATTTAAGACCTCCGCTGAGATCCAAGTTTCATTTGCAAAAGACCCCCTTTCCCACCGGGGGAGAATAAACAAAGACTCAAACAGCAATGTGTACCTTTCTTCACCTTTCGGGGAACCCAACACCATCCACCTTCCTTATCACACCACATCATCGTCGCCTCAGTTTGAGTCTTCAACTGGCACCTGGTGCGTCCTTGTTCAGCGTTCTGCCCAAGTCGTTTACAAGTCTGCTGGTGCCACGATGGCGAGATGTTAACTACCTCACCTTAGTATACAGAATGTAGTGGGTTCAATCCAGACCCTAACACCTGTATATTTGGAGTTTGCGGTGCCTCTCCCCGTGGTCGCGTGGATATTTCTCCAGGTTCTCCGGTTTTTCACTCCACATTTAGAATAAACATCACACGTTCAGACCCCTGAAGGATGATAAGCTGCATCAATACCTGACTGGGAGGTCTTGGGTTCCATCCCGACCCTGACGCCTGCTGTATATTTGGAGTTTGCACGTTTCTCTCCCCGTGGTCACGTGGATTTTTCTCTGGGTCCTCCGGTTTTTCCCTCCACATTCAGAAACTTGCATTTAGAGTATTTGGCTGCTTTAAATTTCCACGTGATAAGCCACTTTCTCGAGCTATGATTTGTGGCTAGGTCACGTCTGAAAAAGAAATATATAGGGCCTTAGTAGGAATTTTTGTTTTAATTTATAAACTGCATTTTCCTGCGGCGCTCCAGCACAAAGCACGATGGCACCTTCCGCTGCCCACATCGCGCACGATTGCTACATGCTGTCGCACAGGTCTCACGTGGACGATCTGCGCCGCCGACAGCGATTTTCTCACAAGAGCTCTACAGCATCTAGACAGATTTCAAATCGGGGATGCATAGCCAGCGATGCACGGTGGCTACTGAAATGGTGAGACAGCTGGGGAGCTCATCTTCGCATTAGGATAAGTGTTCTTGCTCGCATGAACGGAAATACGAGTTTATTAACGATAACAGTAATCTTTTATTTACTCAGGAAAGCCTGAATGAGTCTGCAGCTATCATCATGAAAGCCCTACTTGTGTTGTTTGGCCAGTTGCTCAAGACAAATATTACGTGTAGCAGGAACTTGAGTGCTCAGAGAAAATGACACAGAAGGGGATCAACAATAAAAAAATCCAGTTTGTCATAAACCTACTTGCTGTACTGCTTTCTACAGGACACCTCATATCACATCAGTAGCTCTCATGAACACAACGATACTGGCTCTCCATACAGATGAATAACAATAATAATGCTCCTGTACCATGGAAAGCCTCCCAAGTCTCAAACTAGTTTCTGAAGAAGGTTCTATAACATCAGGATGTTGGGCCGATTCCATGACAAGTGTTTGGCGGCTTCATGTGCGAGGACACAAGATGGTCCGAGGGAATCCCGCAAATTTGGAGGGAGGGAGCAACGCCCCAAGCTCCCGAGTGCCACCTCGCACTCATTTTCTATGAGAGACCGACTTTGTTTTCATTAATCTGGCAAAAATTTTACGGAAAGGAATGACCAGAGTGTACTGTTGCTGCACAGTGGACATTAGTGACCCTAGCAGATCGTATCACGATACGCCCCCCCTCGCACACATATAAAACAATCTTAATTGGCTGACATCCTATTATATATAGAGGACAGCAGAGCTCGCATGATCGTTGGTAGCATGGGTTCACAGCATGGCTGCCCTTCCCACTTGTCTGTGGTTCCTCCTCACGCCTCTGGAGTCGTTCTCACTCATTGACAGCGAGGAGCGAATACGGCGTTGAAATTATTATTAGCAGCATCTTCATGCCCAAGGCATTGGACCTATCGACACAAAAAAAAAAACAGGACATCCCTTGCTCACGCAAGGTCAGTAAAAGTATCCCCTGGATGAAGAGAACCTATGTCTCACGGGACTCTCACCCAGCTTCACAGACGATGTAAGATGCATATGCGAGCATGAGTATTTACGTATGTATGCATGAAAGCCCATCCTCGTAATATTTAGAACACGCCTCCGATAGACACATTACGATGGAATTGTTACAAAAGTGCATCTGTTCCACACGAGTCCCGAAGGACTGGAGGTGCACGCTGCCTCTTCCCATTATCACGGCTCGCTCTGCACGCACACGCGGCATTCTGCCGAGGGATGACATTTATTAAACATCTATAGGAGCGGCGCTGCAGGAGTCTGCGCATTGCACGCAGAAATAAACAATCCAAGTCCCGGGCCGAGGCATCAGCGGCAGGTGATATCTGACCCGGTCCTCAGCGACCCTTCACTAACTTGCACTGACCCAGCGTGGTAAAGTATGGTCGTATAACCCTCTGGGATTGACATGGCATGGAGAGACCGTGTTCCAGCAGCATCATTTACGAAAGGGCTATTAATAATCTTACAACTCCTCGAAAGACTCGCTCTCGCTCAGCTAAAACCCCACATCAACTCCTCTCCAAACTACTGCTCCTTCCAGTCAGCTTACCGTCAAAACTACTCAACAGAAACAGCACTCACCAGAGTGCTTGATGACATTTTCATGATTATTGACTCTGGCTCCATCATTGCTCTTGTAAGTCTGGATATTTAATTAGCCTTTGATACCGTCAACCACTCACTCCTTACTTCCCTCCTGAAATCCGACTTCGGTATATGTGGCTCAGCACTCAAGTGGATACTGTTGTACCTTTCTGATCGGCAATCCTCAGTCAGGGTGGGCTCGTCCACATCTCCCAAAACAAAAGCGTCGTGTGGCGTCCCCCAGGGCTCCATCCTCTGTCCCCTGCTGTTCACGGCCTACACTTCCCCGATCGGCCGTCTCATCGCAAGCTTCGGTTTCAAGCACCACTCATATGCGGATGACACTATTCTGTTCACCGCCATCAATTCTAACAATGCGTCTGGATTTGAGGCTTTCGGAATGCACCAATGCCCTGCAACAGTGGTTCTCCGCACACAACCTTGCCCTTAATCCGTCAAAGTCAGTGGCCATCATGTTAGGTACCAGGCAACAGTCTAAACTCATCAGCGCTCCCAACACACATACACATCTTTGGTCACAGCATGAGGTTCACCGATCACTTCAGCTACCTCAGTGTCATCCTAGATTCAACTTTATCCTTCGACCGTCAAACCAATCATATCATCATTTCATGTAACTTTCACCTTAAGGCTCTCAGACACCTTCGTCCTCTTATCTCCACTGAAACTGCCAACACATTGGAATGTTGCATAGTTGGGTCTAGCCTCGACTACTGCAACTCCATCATAGTCCGGTCTCCTCTGGCAACCTCAAAAAACTTCAAAGACTACAAAAGAACCTGGCACACATCGTCATTGGCCGCACTCATCCCCGTCTCGACTCACTTGCCTGTCTCCGTGCTCTCCACTGGCTCCCCATTGCAAGCAGGGTCACATACAAGATCGCCTGCCTCTGTCCCACCATGCCTTCACATCTGCCTGCCCCCCATACCTCTCTTCATTATTGACGACTTGCAGCACAGCACACACCAAGATTCAGGATGGTCACGGCTATGGGCCGCTTCTCAGTGGCTGCCCCAACAGTCTGGAACGCCATCCTTCGGCACATTTGCAGCATTACCTCAATCGTCTCCTTCAAGAGACAATTAAAAACTCACCTCTACAGCCAAGCTTTCGAGTGACTGAGCTTGCCTCCACGCCTCTAAGTTGCGGCTGTTAGGTCCGCAAATTTGCGCGCGTTATTAACTGCATTATTATTATGTAAAAGGCTTGTGCATTCAGGAGTTGTGCCCTCTGTGTAGTTCTTTCTCCCCAAACAGGGGCTAGTTAAGGTCAACCATACAGGTTCCTTTTCTAACCAAGGCAGGGGTGGGGAACTGGGGAGGGGGACTGGGAAGGGAGGTATTTAAAAAAAATTAAATTGTGGCATTAACCGTGCTACGAACCGCAGCGAAGCCTCAGCGAGAATGCACGCACGGACACGCGACCTGACCTTTTGCCACCCACCCTCTCTCGGCACTTTCCCCCCCCCGCCCCCCCCCCCCCCCGTTTGGGGGGCCCATCACAAGGGGCTGACATGTCTGGGAGGAAAGTCTCACCTCGCCACATCGCACCGCAGTGCTACCACGCGAGGGACCGCGTCAAACAAACACGCATGGACCCCGGACGCACAGAGTTCCGCCGGGAAGGATGCACTTGTGTGTGTGCGCAGAGGATGCAACAACAGTTAAAACATCAAGACGGCCATGCAAAAACAAGAAAAAACCCAGGCAGCCATGCGCTGGAACACTCCTCAAGGCACCGCTCTCAGAATTTCGCACAGGGTTATCTCAGGCCTACATAAGACCTTGTTTCAGTAGCTCTCTCTCTCACACCTGAAGACGGTCGCTTGTGTTGCGATCGAAACGTCGTGATCTATTGATTTTCTATCCACGTGACTTTACCGAAAGAACCAAAGAGTGAATGGCATGAATCTAAATAATGATATATATTGCTCTGCCCTGATATAAAATAAGGCAGCAGGAAAGCACGTTTAATTAAAAATCAAATAGCAATTAAATGCACGGATCCAGATGGACTCTCAATCAATGTTTCCCACTCATATATATTTTTTAAACCCTGAACCAGTTTTGATTCACTGGATTGGGCCAAGTTACAAACAAACAGAAATGGGTGGCCAAAAACCACAGCCAGACAACAATGAATGAGCACTGCCCATCACTGAACAGGGAACTAGGAGACATATACCTTTGCAAAACATTGGCATGGAAAGAGCATTGAACAAATAGAATGGGAAGGTTTCATTACCAATGTTATTCATAATCATTTTCTTTTGGGTTAGATCAAGTAGGTATTACAATCGCCATCCATCACCCGACAATCAATTCAAGCTAGCAAATGCGCAATTATGCCGAATGATTAGGTTTTCAGCAAACCAGAATGTTGAAATGCAAGAAACATTTTGACAATGTTGTAGGATTCAGCATATTTACAGAATTTGATTGGCTCTATCAGGTGGTGAAGAGTTATAAAAAAACTGACATTTAACCTATGCAGTAAAACCCAAAATAACCGAATTAAGAATCAGACTTTAACAACAGAGCTATGATTGACTTTTGTCAATGAAGCCGCCACGTTCCATGGCTATTTATTTAGACTTCCGGTGCTCTGGTGAGGCAGCATAACTTGCATTTCCTTCATTGTTAGTTTATCTGGCTGCTTTGCAGTGACCCATGGATCACAAATTATCTGTCTTCGAAGAACAGGTACGTGGATGCAAACGGTTGCACGTTCGCTGCGTGCTGCAGTGGTTCGTTGTTCGAGTTCCGTGGCTGCCCTGGTGAATACTGCTGGTAAATTAACCGTAAATACTACGTGCCGCCTGCGTCACAGGGGACTTTAAAAGATCCGGTGATGTTAGTCGTCAGTCGGGGACGTGCATGCCGGAGTTCGGGTCCAAATTTGCCCATAGATTCATTGTTGAAGCGGCGAACACGTAGAGCCGAATTCTCACCCTGACCAAACAACTGAGACACAAGAAAATAATTTCCTGCTGCTCATATATCAGCACTGAGGCAATGGTGCTCATGTCCTGTTCACAGCTTAAGAGCCAGTGGTGGAAATGATGCTTTCCTATGGTGGGGGCGAGTCTCTCCACAGGACATCCACTGTCGACTTCCCCACAAAGTGGTACTCGTTTTATCGTCCCCAGAGTGATGATGGACCGAGCCAATGCCCCCAACCAGGATTTGAACTCGCAACCTTGTACGTGCGAGCTGGTCGCTCGACAGCTGGGCCACGTGGGCCGGTTAATATTACAAACATCACGGCGGTGATTACTCCATGTGTACTGACATCATCACGCCTTCACTAAAAAACGAGACAAAAAGACACACCAACACAACCATCAGGTTATTATGCTCCATTAAAAGTCCTCATTTTTATCAGAAGACGTGGCGAACGAACCACAGGAGACATGAGTGAATGTTACGTTTTTTGCTGAAAGGCATTATACTCTGGCTACAAAATTGTCACGCCATGCCCTGCTCGTTCGGCGGGCGGCATCTTTTAGTTTGATGCGCTGTGTACGATAATACCCTGAAACTTTTGCATTTGTGAGTTTGACAGTATTAACTTTGCGGCAATGTAACTTGCCTGGATTATCACGCACACACGCACACACCTGCAAACGTGCTTTAGAGGACGGGCATTGAGTTGCGCGTCATTGTGAATTGCACCTCATTGAGTTGACGAGGATGACGCCACTGGAGCAAAGAGAGCTGAGGAATCGCTTCTCTTCCACAACTTGCACGGTTATTCCATAATGTTCAGGGTTACTTAACAGGACGGGATAGAGGAATTGCGGATGGAGCATGCCATGGCTATTGCGTGTGTGCATAAAAGAGCCGTGCTGAACTGTGTTAGTGGCACTGCACAGGAGGGACACGGCAAATCGGTTAGCGAAACACGGGAGGCGTGGACGGACCTGTCTGCATCACAATCATTTCCACGAGCAGCGTAAGCACAAGGCATCCCCTCGTCAGCGTTCAAATCTCTATTCCCTAACTGCGGTAATTCCTGCAGTTAGATTCATGCATTATTTATTTATATTTAGTGACCTGCTTCTAATTTTCTCTATTTTGCACCGCCTATCATGTTGTTGTATTGTTTGCTGTTGTAACTTGCTGACCCACCGCCCATACTGGACATCTGTGAAAAAGAGCTTCATAGCTCATCGGTTTCACACAGAAGTATAAATAAAGGGTTTGAATCTGATTACAACAACAATTTTGCTCCAAATCACATCAACCAAGTGCATTCAATGATTATTACCAAAAGTGTTGCTGTCAAATTCAGAGACTCAAAAGTTTACCGATCGGGTTAGTCACCATAAAATAATGGTATATGAGTTCAAATCCAGGCCAGGGTTGGTACAATGAGCACCACAATGTGGGGATTCTTCACATGGTGCAGAAAGCTCTGTGCATCTGGTTGTGCTGGAGGCTGCTACTCATCCACAGCAGTGTGCAACTTTCCCCAATGGCTGTAGCAACACAATGGAGCAGAGTGACGACGTATCACGAAAGTATCATAGTTCTCATGCAATTAACACTACGTGGGTCTGTACTCACAAAACAGAGCGAACATGCGAGTGGATGGGTCCTGTCACTGTGACTATGTTGATTTAAGCTGAGACAACCGTGTAATCTCAGCAACATAAACACTGACCACTGCGGCATATGCACACCGTTGTTCCATGCATTTCGACGTCAGTCGTAAGTTAGTTATGCAACAAAGAGAAATTTTAATTATCAGAATTATTTCACCGAGTAAATTATTTATCAAAGGGAAAACCTAGTATGTTCCTGTATTTTGATGTTTGCCCACTTCCACAATGACTATTTAGTGTGTGAGACGACTGTTCTACCTGAATAAAACCCACACAACGTATACAAGAGAATAACACATGTAGAGGATAGCATGAATATATGGCGGTGGCCAGATTGCTCTCTGCTATGGGCCGCCTTCTAGCCCAGTGGCTTGAGTCTCTGATGGAATCGATATCCGTAGCAGAATCGCCCAACCCTGCCTCCGATAACGGTACTCCCGGCTGGCGTTAGCACCACAAAGGGCTCCATCAGCTTCAGCCGCATGACAAAACCATGCTCTGCCCTTTAGAATATGCTCGTGAAAATGATTGTGCTTGCAGTGGAGGGCATTGCGGAGGGAGCTTACAGAATCTCAGAACCCTCGGGAGGAGACCCCAGAGGAGAGAGCGCTTGGGTGTGGAGGGGGCGCGGCGCGATTGCTTGGCTGAAAATCGAAGATGCGGAGAACGGAACAACAATTAAACAAATTCATTTACTTTTCACGGTTCCTTCACACGCACATAGACAGACACACACGTGCCACAAAATGGGCCACACACAAAGTTGAAGGATATTTGGGACCATTTGGCTGTGCAGCCTCCAACTACATACATAAATTAAAACCGTATCAATTATAACAATGTCAATAGTGAATATTGGTCAAGCTTTGCAGGTGTCAGGTGGCACTCGTGCTAAATCTGATTTGCCCCGAGGTCCCGAGGAGTGGCAAAGGGTGGGTGATAGGAGAGGGGCACGGGTGGGGTCACGGACAGAACAAGGGGGTGAGAGAGGGGCACTGTGAAGGCCGAGTGGCGTGGTAGAAGCTCCTCGTTAGGTCAGTTGACCGATCCCAAGTGTTAAAAGCAGATAGAGGGTGAAGAGTTACTGTAGGGAGGACACAGGGCAGCCCCGGGTATTTATGCATGGAGTCGAGGTTCGTTGAAACGTGGTCAAGACAAAAGGAAAATAACAAACATGTCCTATAATTGGTGAAACGTAAACCGAGGCAGATTTTACATAAGGCCTCTGTAACATTACGTTGTCAAAATCGCACCCGAGACGCCGTTTTATTTAACTGGCCATAGAAGCATTACAACCTGGAGTGTCACTGGCTGATCCAAAATTACACTGCAAATTACTCAATGGGAACTATTCGTGGCAATCATCGCACTCTACTGGCAGACTAATGCTCCAGGTCACGCTTGCATATGCGACCATCCTGGTCTCTTGAGTTCTCTCCTGAAAAAAAAAACACTACATGAGTTTTGTAGTGACAGCACCAATATATTTTTCTAATTCTAAATGAATTACATGCAGGTTAAACAGCTGGTCTGTTTACAATGAGCTTCACGTCAGTGATCATTTTAAAAAGACCTCGTGTTCCTATCGCTGCAACGCTTCTCAAAGCCTCTCTAACAAATATCAATGAATATTGGTGAAGGAGACAGTTGATGAAGTCAATAATTTAATGAAGAAAAGCTTCCGCAAAATACAACTTGCTAAGTTGCTCGTAACATCGGGAGTACGTCACGTGCATAGTTTAACAAAAGAACCGCACCTTGGTGACGAGACAGAGTGAAGCCCAAACTAGCCGCCGATGGTTCAACAACCCAACAATCATCAACACACACTGCCCAATGATGTTAACTGTTTGCTCGCTATAACCCCCCCCCCCCCTTGTTCAAAGGAGCAACAGGACAGTAACTCATTTATGATGGTGGCCCTGACTATGATGGAAATTCCACGTTCTCATGGCAAGGCCCGATCGTCTCCATGGCACGGAAACTGTTGACTACTCACGAAGAGGACTGATGCACCGAGCAGGCATCTGACTCGCATCTGTAACCCTGAAGTCAGCCAATTGCCGTGACCACCGCATAACCTGACCAAATATAATAATATCTATAATCATACAGTAACACTATTAATATCATGAGTTTAAAAAAAGACCCATTCTTACAAATTAGCATCTTACAAAAAACAGTTTGTGTTTTTGCTCAGTTGAGCAGGAGAATAGTAATGACATCTTCTGGTAGCCCTGAGTCAGTGTGGTTCCCTTTGCTGAACGACCCATGTCTCTACTTGTTTTACCAAGCACGGGCGAGATGACTACCTAAAACTAAACTAAAAACTATTTTTAGTTTACCTGGTAAGGTCCACTGACCTATGTAGCTCTTTTTCAGAAGCGACTAGGTCTCAAATAATGTTTAAATTAACAGCAGCCAAATACTACAAAATGCATATTGAGTCTAAATTTGTAGGGAAAAACGGGGGACGAGGAGAAAAATCCACACGACCATGGGGAGAACATACAAACTCCAAATATACAGGCGTTAGGGTCAGGATGGAACCCGCGACCTCCTGTATACTAGGCGAGAGAATGAACATCTCGCCACCGTGGCAGACTGGGATCTAAACTCACAATCTTCAGATTTCTCGCAATATGATCCAGTAGTGTTCTATCTATGCAGTTAATAAACAGCGAATGGGATTTTTCGGGGAATGATATGGATATAAAAATGTAATGGGTGGAGAAAAATGTAAAAGGACACAAACATCTGCTCAAATGGAGATAAATTCAGTGTGAGATACACACGTTAGGGAGTCTACATGAACGGGATACTCGGAAAAGCAAACGCTATTCTTGGATTTTCTTGTTGAAACGAATATTACGGAGAGAAACAGATCCAGAAGGCACGTTAAAAAGTCATGAAAAACGCTGAGCCAGTGGAGGAAATTCCCCGATTCCTATGCCTTGGGTCAGTCTCATTGCAAGGTGGCTACTGTTGACTTAATGACAAACTGGTACTTATTTTATTGACACCAGAGGGATGATCGGCTTATTTGACCACCAACTGGTATTTTAAGTCGCAGACTACCACTTGCGAGACAAGCACCCGGCAATGCGGCGCGCCAGTGGTTGATGTATTAGTTATTTTATTGGAATTAGACGAAAAAATAATCAAACAGAAATATAGTTATAAATCAAACGCGTTCGCTCGCAGGCCTTATTCAGGCAGGCAATGGGTTAAGGACGGGTGGGGGGGGGAGAAAAAAGCCTCCGTCTCATTCTAGCGCCACCCACGTGTGCGTGCACGCGAGCAAGCGACTGAGCACACGCGCGGCACTCGAGGCTACGAGCGGAACAGGCAAGGGCGACCCAGACGATGGGCCCATTAAAATGCAGCCTCCATCATCGCGCGTCTCATTCTGTGAGTGCGCGTGCGCGCGCGGAGTCAATGAAAATCGCAAGAAGGGCCTCCGCCTAAGCCGTTACGCAAGCAGATTGAGAGGAGAGAGAGAGAGAAGATAAATAAATAACATTACCGTAGGAAGAGGGGAACAGAAAAAAAAACCTCAACTGGCTTAGATTTTTTTTTCTCCCTCCTCCATTCATAAAGCAGCTTCCCTTCTGTGCCGTGCGCAAAAGCCACCTTCGCCATTTCAGGATTTCAGGCACGTCCCGTTTGAACGCAAAGGAAGCCAGCGTGAGCAATGCCGATGTGCGTTCTCTATCCAAGCCAGGTGAGAACGCATCCGTGTTCCTTACCTGCATCGTAACAAAAAAAACTCGCTAGTCATGCAGGGCTATGCGATAAAAACAAATATTTTAATTGAAAAACATTTGGGATTTTCGCAATGAATCGCACGTGCTTTATTTGGGAGTCTGTAGCTCGGTGTGATTTGCTGACGAGCCCTTATCAGGGCAAAACGGGTCCGTATCCCTGCTCTGGATACCTTTTTAGTGGCCTTTTAGCCAAAAGATTGAGCAGCACTTGTCAGTGAATACAAACAAATATACATCATTTACTGGCTTTTTCACTTTGTAAAGCTCACAGTAATAGCCTAAGCGCAATATATCACAGAAAGGTCGCTTGCTGCACATGACGTCATTGGGTCTTGAACGTGCACTTCTCTGGAGACAAGAGAGTGCAATGGTAATGATGTGATGGGATAAATTATGGACTGGCAATGGTATCTATTGAACAGGAACAGTGGTGAGGATGCTGTAAAAGAAGACCCGAAACAGCCACACAGCTGCCTATTGAAAACGTCATCATCATCATCATCGGTCATGGTCAATCCATGGCTAGATGAAGGCCTCCCCCAGCAAGCTGTTCTCCATATCCCACAGTGCTACGATTCAACAACCCATCTAGCGTCTGCACGAGAACCGATTTTGTCACTCCATCTTTGCGGTAGACACCTCAGGCACGTTCTATCACTGCGCTGCCATTCACGAGCTGGGCAGAGTGGAGCCACACTGACCAGCGCGGTGAAGTATCCTTAACTAACCCCCTGGACCCGCACAGCATGAGGGTGTCTTCATCCAGCAGTCGATTCACAAACAGGATGTACTTGTATGTGGGGGAGAAGTGGCGTAGTGGTTACGCCACTTCTGTTTCAACACACCGAGTTCGATTCCCAGCCACGGCTAACGTCACTTGAAGAATAATAGCTGAACTGATCCTGGGGCTGCCCTTTTACCAACCCGCACTGGCCAGCGTGGTGAAGTATGGTCAAAAAACCACGATGACCGTCACAGCATGGAAAATCTTTCATCCAGCAGTGAAATGACCAAGGGCCGGAAGTGGTTATTTCTATTATATGTTGAAATATAATAGGGTTGCATGACTCTTGCAGCCACTAGTGGCCGCTCCATTCACCAGCATTGCAAAAGAACGGAATGTAAAATTTCAGTGACCCTGAATGTATGTATGTATGTTGAACTTCTTTCTCACCGTATGTAGCCAACTGTGCTAATCGGAGGTAATGGGGGAAGGACAACAAACTGACACACAAAAAGCAGTTCTGGCGACAATCCATGGAATTGCCGGAGAGGTGATTCATTGCATCTCCACAATGAACCCTGTAACACCACTCGCAGTAAATAAAACAAATTATAATCTGTTAATAACCGGAAAGAATATCACTGTTACAAAGTATTCGAGGACAACTAAAGTTAATCATGTCAAAACTCAAAATGTCGCGACATGGTGGTGCTACAACACGTCAAATTTTATATCCGCGATAATTGTGCCGTCCATTTTGTATAATACCACCAGATCACGATTACCATTGCTCGTTTATCTGTTCAAAAATATTTAATTTCCCCACAAAATATTTATGAAGTATCAAATACAATGGCAATTTGACAAAACGTACCCCGGAATATGTAATTGCCTGCTGGCCTGTTATGTAACGTCATCACTTTTTTTTACCAGCTCTTTTAATTGCTTATTTGAGTATTGTTTAACTGATGGCAGCCGAAATGAGCCCATCGTTTTGACCTCGGGGCCTGTAGTCCCCAGCGAACATGCCAGGAGTGACCGCAGGGTGCAGCAGGACATCCTGGTTGGGGGTCAACTCGCTTAACAACGGGAGCATCACTTTGCGAGAAGCCGACAGTGATTGTCCAGTACATACACTGGCTCCTGGCTTAAG